CTTTTGAAGTAGCAGGACTGTCTTTTTTAGTTAAGTTTTAGAGCATAATTTTTTTCAAACCATTTGCAGCTCACTAGGACTAATTAGTTGAGCACATTAATAACATAAGTACATCAATCATGTCACATGCGCAATAAATTTCTTCTGTTTTTTGATAATTTTAGAATTTTTAAATTTTGTTAAATTCCTTTCTTTTGTTATAGTGTGTAATATCTTTACATATCTTATGTATATAATATCAATATAAAATCAATCATGTTAAAAAATCTAAAAAAATTTGAAAAAAATTCGTAAGTGGTAGAATTCGAACGACGCGTCGTTCGAATTCTACCACTAACGAATTTTTTTTTGACGAAATTTTTTGAATGACGAAATAAATAAATAGGCCGTCGCGACGGCCTATTTATTTCGTCATTCAAAAAAAAAAAGAAATACAATGCCGATTTTTTAATCAGAAATTCAGCAAACTAACCACTCAGCCACGCTGACATGTTGACTTATAAAAATTTAAAACTATATAATAAATAAAAGACTTTATAACACGGAAATAAATGCTATAGATTAAAACTAAGGAGATGTTGCTGCAATGCAATTTTCAAGTGAAAGTAAAACTGTAAACTTGATATATGTTTTTGTTTGTTTTAACATTACATAATTTGTAGTTTACGTAGGTTAGACATTTGCAAACACTTTCGTTCGCGTTTTATTATAAAAAAGTACTACGACTCTTTCTCGCCAGTACCTCAGTTACAATGGCTGCCGAAAGTTCCGTGTCAAACACCCTCGATTGAGCATAGATAAGTTGCTTATTATATGATAATATGATCATAAACATTAATATTAAATAAATGTAGGATTACAAGTTTATAAATGTCTTAAAAAACAATAATTAAACAAATATTTAGCAGAATTTTTTATTAATTGATTGAAAAGCTAAATTACTTCAGAAATTAAGTTAAGAGATTTTAATTTAGAAGGTAGTTTACTCCTCAAGCTAATATATTAATATTTAATTCATTTGTTTCTCAAGCTATTCAAAGTTATATTTTGAAGATGATTCTTAAAAAGTTATGTTTTTGGGATTGTCTCTATACTTGATATGTATATTTTTATTGGGAACCAAAAATGCATGGTATTTATTTAGCTGAGTTTTTAAAATTTACATAATAACGGGTATTGGCCAGCATTACAATAAATCTCATAAGTTTAATTGCCAACTTTTTAACTTGTTTTGCAAAAAAATGTGTAGATTTTTTGTTTTAATACTAATGTACTTAATTGGACCTAAAAAATAAACTTTTTGTCCGCTTAGACTATAAATTAAACAATTACTAATTAGTGTCAGACAGGATTTAAAGAGGATCAACAAAAAAAAAGTTTCATTTATAGAGTAAACCAAGTCACGTTAAAACAAAGAACACCACTTGGCTAGCAAGGTCAACACTCTTGCTGTAAACTAAGCCAAGTCACAACAGTTTGAGTCCCTGCAAACAGCATAACCACTTACAAACTATAAAAAAATAACATTATATCACAAAAATTGAAACAATCATATATAAAAAATATTTACTCACTTAGAAAATAAAAATCCATATAACCTTAACACATATAAACACTTAATAAATAACACACAAATATATATAAATATATATATTTAAAAAAATGTTTAAATTAAAACTTTACAAATACAACCTTATTTTTGTAATATTTATTTAATGACATACCTCGTAATAAATGTTTAACAACTTGCAAAAACAAACGATCAAACGATCTGGTCTTTTATATAAAGCAAACGGATTTTTATTTAACTTCTTTGAAATAAAGTATTAAACGATTTTGTTCTTCAACATGTAACATAAAGTTGACCGTGTGAGTTTGACCTTTGAAAAGAGCAACGTCTTGTAGAGCCTTCATCGGCTTCTAATTTTAAAATTATAGTTTATTATACTTTAAATATAATTAACAAAAGACTTGAATTGTGTTATTATTATAATACATAAATTGTATAAATTACCTAACTTTAAAAAATACTTTACTAATTCGAAAATAACATAAACTTTATCCTTTACTACAAAAGTTATTAAATAAAAACTTTCGATCGTATTACATATTAAGGTGGTACATAACCATAAAAAATAAAATTGGAAATAAGACAATGTAATTTTTTTTCATTTAAAATAAACTATTTAGAAATAATTAAATTAAAAAAGTAGTTAATCAAGTATTTTTGCCTCGATTATTACTGAAAAATTGATATTTTGATGAGATATTGTAAACAAAATAATTAAAAAACCTATATAGTTAAAGACTTGAAAATTTCATCAGTTCTTTATTGTATTGTAATGCAGGAGTTTAAATAAAACTAAGTCATAAAACAAAGTAGTTCAGAAGATATTGACATTTTTTACTTGTTGATTATATTTTGTATAGTTAAGATTTATAAAAAGCGCTATAAGATGACAAGTTTTGTGTATAAAATAATAATTTTAGTTCAACTCCTGCCATTAAAGCTTAAGAATATACAGCAAAAATTTCAACCTAAAAGCTTATCCTGATCTTGAAATATCACCTTTTAAAGTTAAGAAAATGGGTAAAAATTAAATACTGAGAAAATTGCAAGAATAAAGATAAACTGATAAAAAGTATTATGGTTTACTTAATATGAGCCTGCTGAATAAGCAGGTATCTCTTCATTTTCTTTTTCTTTATCTAGAAATCCTTTTCTAATGGCTCTTAATTTTCTTCTTGTTTTTACGCTTTTGCTTGATGACTTTCTATGAACATTTCTTATGCGTTCTACATCACTTTTTTTAAATACATTATGCATAAACTGTGAAACTGGCAGTCCAAGCATTTGAATTATTGGGCTTAAACCAGATTTACCATCATTAAATTCAATTATTGCTGAACAAATACCAATTTTAAGAAGTTTTCGTGACACAAAAATTTTCTTCAGGCATTTTTTCCAGATCATACTGTTTAAGCATTCGTTTCTATTTTGAGTTTGGGCATGCAAACATTTTAACAATAGCGGTTCTGCTGGTAAATCATGCCAAACTGGCATTAACAAATCTTTAATTGCAATTGGGAGGCTTAAGTTTTTCTTGTATGTTTTAATACCTGTTAATTTGTCAGCCTGCCATAAACACCAGGTATCTTTGGTGCGTGGACAAAACTGATGCCTAATATTTTCATCCAAAATGTTTGTATTAAGAAACAAAGTTGCCCAAATGATTTTTTCATTAAATAAATATCACCAATATTCTGCCTTTTAGCCCTACCAAAGTAACTTTGGAGAGTATTGATAGCTTTATGAGTAAATGTATCTATTCCTGAGACACCTTTTCCATCAGATAACTTTTTACTTTTATAAGTTAGACGAATATTTCTGCAACGAGTACCTACACGTTTTTGAATGTGTCCAATACATTCTAGCTTAGTAATTGGAATCACTCCATAAGGTTTAAATAACTTTACTTGATTAAACGAACTAGTATCGCCATCACCAATGTATTTATTATATATAAGATTATTTTCAGAAAAGGAACGAAAAAACATTTTAACAGCCCCTATAGCTTCCATTGATCCAGAACTACCTGTATGATTTGACTGGCAAACATGATTAAGTTTCCAGTCCACATATTAAGAATATCGTTTCTTATGCTTCCTGTAATAGAATATCACCGCACCTTAGAATATTACCGCAGTAGAAATAATGAAAACGAGGATGCGTTTTGAAGTAATAGAACTTAGTAGAGTACCAAGTACGCCCGAAAAATACAAGAAAGTTAAAAAAATGTTGTTTTTTAACAAACAATATCAAGTATGTTGGTTTTTTAACAAAATACATGGGTGATGTGATATTCTAAACATATAATAGTGTATTTCTATGTTTTGTGAAGGTTACATCACCCATATATTTTGTTAAAAAACAATATCTACGATATTGTTTTTTAACAAAATATATGGGTGATGTGGTATTCTAAACATATATGATATATGTTTAGAATATCACATCACCTATATATTTTGTGTATTAAAAAATACACTATTTCATGTTTATAATATTACACCACCCATGTAATTTGTTAAAAAACAACATACTAGATAGTGCTTAAAATGTTAGAATATCACATCGCCTTAATAAAATTAAAAAATACACTATTTCATGTTTAGAATATTATATCACATCAGAAGATCACATCAACATCACATCACACCACATCAACATCACATCACATTAGAATATTACATCACATCAGGTGATGCAACTTTCACAAAACTTAGAAATACACTATTATATGTTTAGAATATCACATCACCCATGTATTTTGTTAAAAAACCAACATACTAGATACTGTTTGTTAAAATACAACATTTTTTCAACGCTCTGGTATTATTCGGACGTACTCGATACTCTACTAAGTTCTATTACTTCAAAGCGCATCCTCGTTTTCATTATTTCTATTGGTGCGGTAATATTCTAAGGTGAGGTGATATTCTATTACAAATCACATATAAACAAAGCATTAATTTTAATACTTATAGCAAACGAATTTATATATTATAATATATAAATTCGTTTAATAATAAAAAAACGAATATATATATTACAATCTAACACTTAAAAATGTAACAAAACTTTTTTTCCTACGGGGCATCTTGTCACACCCTATCTAAAACGCATAAACTGTTAAATGTCAACAAAAATAAATAATTTTAATTTCTTAACTCCTATATATCATCCCGCGAAAATAAATGAAACTAAGATATAGTTATTTGAGTTAGAATTAAAGCCACAATTGACTATTTATGAACTCAGAACCATACATGGAGGTTAGACACTATTTTGCATTAAACCCGAAAAAGTGGTGAAGTTTTATCTCATAATAATATTAACACAATCAAAATTATGAATTTCACAAAACCAAACAAAGAGAAGGTTACACAGCGATTTGTAAATTATTTACTTTGCACAGACAGAAATGTCAACAATTGTTATAAGTTTCAACTTTTTTATATATCTTTTTTCAAAATCATCATTTTTTAAAATTTTTTTTCCTAAAAGAATTTCAACAACCATGTTGGTTAATATTTAATAAATTTGTAAGTAAATTTTTATCTAAAAATAATATTTAGAATTTTAATTTTAAGTAATGCAATCATAATTTGAATTTTTTAGTTGATAAAACTAAAATCTAATATGTATATATATATTTTTTAGTTTCATTAAGGTTTATTTAGCTTAATTAAGTCGAAATAAAAAGTTAGTTGATTAAGTTTAGCAATTTAAAAAGCTTGCTAACTATTTTCACTAAAAACATTACACGGCTAACTTAAAAAAACTAAAAAGTTAGTAAATTTTTTTATTTAGACTAAAAAACTTTTTTAAATATCGTAAAACTAAAACCTTATCTCTGATCGCTAAGTAAAATTGAATTTCTGCCACTTTTTAAATAATTTACCAAATCAGGCGCGTACTGGTACATAGGGTTACCGGAAAAATCCCGGTAGGCCGATATCATCGGTAGGCCGATGGGATAACTCTTGAATATTGCTTTAGTAATAAAAACTATTAACGTAATAATTTGAATAAATTGAAAATAGTTTATATTGCTAAAAATATTTTTGATTTGGTGTGGTGAACCTAATTAATGTTATATATTTATATGTAATAAAATAGTGATATTATGATAGGACTTTGAAATTATTACGTAGAAAAGTTAATGTAAAAATGACCTACTATTGGTATGATGAGATATCGATAAAAATGGTAGAGGAAATTTGTTTACTTTTTAAGGTCCTACAACTGTAACAAACATTATTTAAACTATTTGTAAACTATTATTGTTAGATATATCTGAAGAAGTAAATTTCGGCTGGTCTATAGTTAAAGTTGTGGAACGAGTTGTAGCTTTAAACAACGTGATTTTATCTTCAGGGCAGAATTTAATTAATTTATTAAAACTAACTTTAAATTCTATAATCATTAGCTTAGATAATTGTGGAATAGATGCTTTTGATGGTGCTACCAATATAATTGGATAACATAAAGGAGTTCAAGCAAAACCCAAAGAAATGCTGCCAAGTCATATTAATTCATTGTGCTACGCTTATGTGTTAAATCTAGCCTTACAACAAACTACTTCTTGCTCAGTTACAGTTATTTCTTTTTTTGGATTTTTTCAAAAATTTTTTTTTTTTTCTTCAAAGAATCTTATAAAAGACTCAATGTCAGAATTTGATAAATATTAGTTAAACGTGATGACGGTCTAAAAATGAGGCGGTTCTTAAGATGTTTGGTCGTAGCGATATGTGAAATGAAAGAAACATTAATGACGACACTTATTTTTATTTTAATTTAACAATTTTTATATGTGCAAATTGTATTTGCACTTTATGAAATTTCTTTAACTAATGTTTTTTCAAATAGCCTATAAGTTACAGCTCAAAATTTACAAGAGCGACTTACCCGTTATGAAATAGTATTAACAGTAATAATGTTTTTGAAAATATTTAAGTTTACTACTGCTATATCTGATTGCCTGTAAACATCTGGTCTAGTTTATATTCAAGCATGGAGAAAAATTCAGTCAGCGCAGGAGCAAAAATATTCATTTAATTTGTTTCCAGTGTAATTTGGGAAAATGAGCCAGACATTGATATAGTATAAAATTTTCCTGAAAAGAGAGGCAAAACTATTCCAATACGTTTTTGTGAAAATTCAAGTACTAACTAAAACATAGGAGATGGAGATTTTCCAGAAAATATTTGTAAAATCAATACAATTAACGTATTTATGGATAATTATATAGCTTGCTTAGAATGTAGACTATCGGGCAGTAAAGAATAATATTGTGATCTTGAACTATTTGATCCAAGAAAGTTTGAAAAAATTGCGAAAAATGAAATTTATTCTGAAGCTCTTCATAAAATTTGTGAACTGTTACCTCATATTGATAAACATAAACTAGTAGAATAATTATTATCGTTTGTGAAATTCTGACGTTAAATATCCAAAACTGATATTAGAGATGTTTACGATGTTACTAAAACCAAAGCAACTTGCAATAAGATTCTTTGAAGATTTTGAATACTCTTAGGAAAATGATAATAATAAGTGTACAAGAAACAAAAAATGTCATTCTTGTTTATTATGTGTAACAAATGTTATTTATGAATTCAAAATGTATTCTTTAGAGTATAAAGAGTTATATGAAGTATACAAGTTACTTTTAACAATACCTCTTAGTCAAGTAACGTGTGAAGAATCGTTTTCGAAACTTAAATTTATAAAAACATGTTTGAGAAGTTTTGTTTAGTACAGGAGAACTTGTTTTCTTTGTTTTTGATGAACTGTGAAAGGGAATAGTTGGCTGACATTACACCGGATAAAGTCATTGACTTAATTTGTGAAAAAAGTACCGAAATGTTAAAAATGTTGAAACTTTAGTTTTTAAACATTTTATTGAACTGTTTCAATTATTTGTATATTATTTCCAATGTATTGAACTATTTTTAATAACATACTCTACGTATTTTATAAGTTATTCTACGCAATCAAGATCACTTATTATTACAATAACTGTAATTATTTTATAACAACGTGCGAATTTCCGCTTATTTAGCCTCGGCAAACAAATGCTAAGGACTTGAGTACAAAATACCATTTACCACGTCATTACCTCTTCAACATTCTTAAAATTGAATTAAAGCTGTTCGTTTTTAATACACTATTTTCTTGTAATTTCATGAATTAAATTGAATGAAGAATTCTTTTTGTTGCACACTAATATATTCGGGTTTAGATATGATTTCTTTTACAGTTTTTTTATTAGAATGTTACCCTCCATTTTAAAGGTTATTTATTAACTTTTTTACCAACTTTATATTAGTTAATGTCTATAAAAAATTTAAAATAAGAATGAGGAGCCCATCTGCAAATTGCGATAAGTCGCGCTTTTCAGATGGGCTTCTTTTAATAAGTTACGTCTGCATTTTTTTGCCGAGGCAATTTATCAAAATACTGCAAAGCCCTCGCCAAAAACCACTGCAAACGCCGATTGTCTGGGTTATTTTTGCACGCTGTATAAGTTGTTATCATTGTTTTTGTTAGTATCATTATTCATTTTTTTTATGCTCAAGTTATACAAGTCGAATCAAATCTAAGACTTCAATTTGACTTTACAATATCTGATTTATTAAAAAGTAATATATATAATATGCGCTCAAGGTTAGTTCTATAATAAACTTTGTAACATTTGAAATAAATTTTTTTAAACTTAATTTATTTAAAATAAAATATTTTTCCCTTATTTTTTGTTAATTGTTTTAATTAAACTCAAAAAAAATTGTAGGCATATTCCTTTTTTGGGGTTGTCGGTAAAATGTGAACCGCGAACTGCGAACCGGTAAAATGCGAACTTTTTTGCGAACCAAAACATTATATTTTAAAGACCATTATTGTTATGATAAAAATAATAATAAAAAACCCTCCAATTCTTAACTATTTATTTTAAAGCTTTATTTAAAATAAAATTTTTATTTTTTAACTGTAAAACATGCGGGTAGTGCTGCTACATCGACTATCTTATAGCCTGACTCGCAACGAAGTGCTGCTACATTGACTGAGGGTTTGGTTTGAGCAGACAGTCTATCAAATAAAAAAAAAAAAAATTTATATTGTATTTTTCTAGTTTGAAAATATTGACGTGTGTTATTGGCATTTATTGGCTCCAAGTAGTCAATTTTTGAACAACTGAATGTTTTATATTTGTACTGAAAATAAAACTGAGCAGACCATTCTTTTATACAAGATCATATTTTTTAATGGGGATTAAGATCTTCAAATGGTTTAGCCATTTTAATATTACATAATATATGAGATTTTATTCACCTTGACTACATTTATTAACTTTTTATATCTTAATATGTTGTAGATTAAGTTCTAGCATTAGCTAACAAGATTTTGAGCAGCTTGTATTGAGTAGTTAACTTTGCATTTATTCAGACTTTTATTGTTGATATTGCTTGTTATTTCATTCTTTTAATTTGTTGTATTTGCTGCTGAGCACCTTTTCAAAAGTGATCTTCTACAAACAACTTTAGGTTCAATGATATGGCGAACGATAGGGTATAATGTTTAGGATGTTTGGAATATCTATCAAACAGAATTTTTAATTTTTAAAGTCTTTAGTGTATATATAAATACTTGTCTTCTCGTTTTATTTACTTAATAGTTTTATTATTTTCACCTGGAATTTTTGATACAAAATATGCGTGAGAATCTATAAATTTTTACTTAAAATACACTACCGAAATGGTTTTTAATAGGTAAAAAAAAAATTTAAGAACAAACAGTTGGCTCTTTTTAAATTCAAATCCCAGCTTTGTATTTTTGAATCCATTTGCAACGTCAGCAATATTTAAAACAAAACCATTATACTATTTAATAGATAGTTTAAATGTTTTTATAAATGATCAGGTAAATTTTGTAAAATTTTTTATCTTATAACTTTAAACATCGATATGATTACTTTTTTAAAGAATGGATCCAAAATTAAAAGCCATTTTATCCGAAAACTTATCATCGGAATGGAAAGAATTTGCAATGCACACTGGAATAAATGTAGCAGTTGTAAATTATCATGATTTGGATAAAGTCAGTGAAAAAGTAAAAATGGAAAACCTTTGCAACGATCTTGTTAAAAAACACGAAAATAATTATATGACAATGATAGAGAAGTCTTTAAGAGAAATGGGCAAGATGGATGTTCTAAATGAGATTCAAACTTTTTGTAAGTATAACTAACTTAAAACCAAAGTAAAAATCCTTCTTCATATCAAATAATATTAACAAACTATTTGTTAGAAATAATTTGTGATATTATTTTTTGTTTTTATCAATAATTTAAGAAAAAGAAAGGTAATTAAGTAGTATATATATATATATATATATATATATATATATATATATATATATATATATATATATATATATATATATATATATATATATATATATATATATATATATATATATAAATATATATATATATATATATATATATATATATATATATATATATATATATATATATATATATATATATATATATATATATATATATATATATATATATATACATTGACTTGTGTAACAACCTTTTCATCCTTTGAATAGTTGATGCCAAAACATCAATGATTGCATTGTTATCAATTCTTGGACTATGGTCCTTTTCACAAAATATCAGCATAAATGATTGTAAACTAGACTGGTTTTATTGAATTTCTTAAACTGTTTAAAATTTATTTCAATTTCGAGAATGACCTTCGCTTTCAAGAATGACCTTTCTTAAACAATTGTGATGAGGATAATGTCAATACAAATTTTTAAGTCAGAAACAAATTTGAATAAGCAAGACTGTGCAAATTGAACTTCAGGATAACAAAGTAACAACAAACAATAATTAGACAAAAAAATAAATGAAAGATTTGCATTTATTTCTGTGGATAATTGCCTACTGCTGGGATCGTAAAGACAGTTTCAAATTATACGGATTTAGATTTTTTGATGTTTCCCGAGAAAGAGCTATATTCTTTCATGTCAAATAGCAAATTGTGTTCATTTTCAAGTTTTGTTTCGAAAGTTTCTCATTTTTCGCAAAGTCCAATAATTCGGTTTTATAATTTTCTGAGCAACTCACTGAGGTACTGCAATGCGTTACTAAGCATTTTTTCAAAATATAGACTACCATGTGAAGTCTACCATGTATTGAATAACATGCTCATAGACTACCATGCTCAAAATATCTCTGTTTTAAATACTGACTATTTAGTTCTTTGCCATGTTGAGAACATTGACACTGAATTTAACTTTTGCACTTTCAAGTATTTGGTTTACTCTAATTCTTTTCTCTTTCAAAACAGTCTGAACTTTAATGTCGAGATTTTTTTTCCTAGCTCACTATTTGAAAGTTCTGAGAAATTTGTAGCTGCCCAAAAAATGAATTTAAATTTTCTATCTACTTTGCCTATTTCATTGTCTTGAACGATCTTATAAGCTCGTAGTATTTCCGTTCCAGTTGTTTGCAAATATTCAGACAATGGCTATGTGTGCTCAAACACTTTTAAAAACAATTGTGCCGTTAAAATAAATTCAAAACTTGTCATGCTATCTAAACGAGCTTTTGTTCTGTAACAGACATCATCATTGAATTTGGTTGATGTAGAAATATCATGAAATGTTTGTTACATGTCAATGTACAAAAAATCAATAACTTGTTTTTCTGGATCGGAGGTTTTGATGAAGAAATTTATGTATAAGCTCTGTCTTTTACCCACCAACGGATTTCATCGATTACAGATATGTATTTCAATTTGATAATTTTATACAAAAAATTGACGCGTAAATTTAATTCTCGTAAAAATATTGTTCAAAATGTCAACACGACACATGAATGTGACCCTGGGAAACTGTATTAACCAGGTATTGAATACATTTTATTGACCTTACATTATATTAATGTCTACCTTTCCAAAAACGCCACAAATCAAAGTCACACATTCTTTTGCCAGTTATTGATGTGCAATTGACAAATGATATTACACGTTCATGTAAAACTTTTGTTACATATCGGATCACAATTGAACACTGAACCTGTACATTTATATCTTGTGCAGTATCAATTTAAACTATAAACCAATTTGCAATGCCGCTGATGCGGTATTATTAATATTATCACCTAATTAGGCAGAGACTCATGATTCTAAAATTAAAACGGCGGATAGTTTTGATGCCAATGCTATCAATGCAACCTCTTACCATAAAACTGACATTCAATATAATTTGAACAGTAATCAATGCAAGTCAAGTGAATAAACTCAAAACAACTAAAGTTATTTTTTCAAATAGCTAGCAGTTTTTATGAAATATTTTTTTTTAAATTTTAACCAAAGCAAAACAGTTGTGGGCTGAACGTTAAAATTAATGACCAGAACGTTTATTTCAGACACAATAAATCTCGTTACAGGCTGATCTTTGGAGAGTCTCTTATCTCTTCCACCATAATGCGTGTTAAAGATGTTGTTATGGCATCAATGATTTTATTAACAGTCGTTTTGTACTGAAATGTGATTAAGTCACCAGCTAAATCACACCATAATTTGCTTTTTTAAACCACCTCTTTAATATGTAATTCTAATAAGGGATCAAATTTGCCAACAAGCAAAAGAATCTTCAAAAAATATCCATTATTTACACTGTCATTATTCAACGTTTACCCAGACTCTTCTGCACCACGCTTACCCAACGTGTACCCAGACTCTTTACCCAACGTGTACCAAGACCCTGCACCTCTCTAGCTAAATCCACGCTTGCTAATTATTATTAACTTTTTACGGTTCTTTCTAAAATTCAACAATTATTTTTAACCTCTTCGCCATATCGGCGCCTATAAATGCATATAATATCTTAAGCATTGATTTTTAAAATATTAGGTATCACATTTTTAGAAATATAACATTGAAAATCTGCTAAAAAATCATTTTTTTCGTATTTAAATATATTGGCAGAAAGTTGAAGTTTTTTCAAAAATATATTCATATAGCAACTTTTCAAAGTCTTTTATATTTACACATAAACATCATTAGAATGGTCAAAGTTAGTCAAAAAAACACTTTGTTATAAAAATATTTATTTTTGACTATGCTTTTTTATTTTTATTTTATTATAGATACCTATTCCTATATTATAATATAAATACCCAAATATTATTATAGATACCTTATACATCTTATAAATATTATTATAATACCTTATATATAATATGAATCCTTGAATTTTTACATATTTATTTTTTTATAAATTTTCACTTATTTACATCCAAATATATATTTGGGTATGTATATAGATATATATTTATAAGTGGAGACTTATAAATATATATCTATATACATACCCAAATACATATTTGGATATAAATATGTAAAAATTACATTTTTAAAAAATATGTTTTCAAAAAGATGATTATTAAAACATAAATATAAACACCTAAATCCATTCCAATCTTTAAAACTGTATTTTGTGAAACCTGCCCTTGATATTTCATTACGAAACCCAGAAAGGTTGTCATATCTTTAATATATATTAAGTCTCTCTTCACTGTAGCATAGTCGTTACCTTTTTATCATCGAAAGTAAAAGTAAATCAGCTTGATCAAACCAAGGACAGGGCAAAAGATAGCAGCTCCATATGATCATACTTAGGGGAAAAAAAGTCACGTTTTTTAGCTTATTGTGAAAGTGAGAATCATTTTAATATGACAAGGTTAGTTGAAAGATTGAAGTTGCGTGAATGTAAGATTTTTTTGGTTTCTGACATGAAGTTAATCAGCATATTTTTTTTTACCCAAAAATATAGTTATTAATTGAATAATTACATAAAGTATGCCTGTGCATAGTGTGAAGGTTCTTCTGAACTATTTTCTAGAGAGTTAAGAATATTTCAATCTTCGAATGAATACTATGAACAAGTGGCGGATAAAGACTTCTTGTGGCTTAGGACTATTTTTGTTTTTGGAGGCCTTTTTATGGGCCAGAGCCTAAAAATGACTAAAAAAAAAAAGTTCCTCTAAAATTTTTTGGGGCCCCTAAATTTGCAGGTCCCGGGGCTATAGCCCTCCTAGCTCCTCTTGATCCAGCTCTGCTATGAACTGTATTTGTCTGCAGGACCTCCGTGGAAAAAAAATGAATTTATAATAAGAATATATATTTGATAATGACATTCTAAATATATTTCGATATATTTAGAATGTCATTAATTCTTGTCTGCTCAAGATAGAAGAAAAATCTCTAAGTATAATAAGAGAAAATCCATTACTAGAACATCATCTTCTGATGAGATTTGTTAACCATGTGGCAAAATATATTATGCAGCTTTGGTCTGGATTTATAGATTGGGTCAAGAGCATTGGATACCTTTGAAAAGGTTATCATGGAGAAACATTTGAAGGAAACACATATAGAGAAATACTTAAAGGTTACAACAAACTTGAGTTGATAAAGCCTGTTTAAGCCATGTTCCTCTCTTAAAAACAATGAGAAAGTTCATGGTGGCTATAAATCTGACTCAAACTATTCAATTTTAATTGAAAATTTTACACAAAGTTATAAAGATGCGCAAGACTATTGCAGAGACTTTCTTTAACCTTTGTATTTAAAACTAAGTTATCGATAAACATATTTATGGTAAATTTTTTTAGTTTTCAGATAAACTGCTAACGCTTACCTAAAAAGTACATGCTGTAACCGCACATCTGAAAACATTTGTTAATTTGATTGGCCTTTTTCTAGGGCAGTTTAACAAACAGACATCTCAATTTTGAAATGCTAAGATGAAAAATGTAATAAACTGGTTTGGAGTTTTGCAGTACAACAACAAACAAAAGGAAAGAAGCAAAAAAATTGCTGAAATAATCAGTTCAAATAATTTATAAGTTATTGAACATACATCAATTGTACATCAAAACACAAACATTATTGAAATCTTAAGTTAAAAACATTTGCATATTCATTCAAAAAATAATAAAAATACATTAGTATAAATGATTTTAAAATATTTTATTTAGTATTTATTTTATTACTATTGATTATATATTAGATTATTAGGCAACTATGCATGCAATACTACTATTCTACTAAATTGCTCTATTTTATTAATATTTTCTATTTTACTATGCATACTATGTTCACACATACTATGTTCACACATACTATCATCCTAATTTAATTTCAAGCGTATCTAAACTTTTTTAGCCAACTTAAAGCAGTCTTATGATGTTGATACATAAATATAAAATTAAAAAAACACAAAAATTGAAAAATAATAATAAAGTTAACATAAAAAGCTATTTTATGTTAACTTTAAAATTCTGTCAGTATATTTAGTTTTTTTAAATACAAAAAAAAATGCCTTTTTTGCAGATTTTCTAGATGTCAATTTTCTGAAAAATGTGATACCTCCCATATTTTTGTAAATATGAAAATAAAGTGTCCAAATGCCCCACTTGCTATAATTATTAACTTTTGGGGTACTCAGATAGTAAACTTAAACCTTAAATTTCTGAGATGTGTTAATTTTAACGTTTAGATCATAGTTTCTTTGCTCCGGGTGAAATTTAAACAATGATTTCAAAATATCGGCTAGCAATTTGAAAATATAGTTCTAGCAGTTTTGAGTTTCTTTACTTGCCCCAGTTTCTTTACTTAGCTGGCATTGATTGCTGTTCAATTTACATCAAACTTCAGAGTAAGGGTAAGAGGTTGCATTGACAGCATTGCCATCAAAACAAGTGGTAGCACCATTGTTTCAGAAACAAAGTATCAGTGGTTTAAACCACTGATACTTTGTTTCTGAGACAATGGTGCTACCACTGCGCAACATAGCCGCTTCTTCGTGGTAAATAATGATAACTTAGTGTAATGTTGATGCGAAATTTAGGAGAAAAATTTGGAAATATTCATCAAAGTTTTAAATAAGTTACTTTTTGAAAAGTTTTGAACGAGTTTAGGGCTTCCAGTACAAGCATCTTATAAACTGGTTTCTTATAAAATAAAACATAAAAAAAAATGTGTATAGACTTCTTATGAAATGAAAACATAAAAATAAAACGTTAAATTAGGCTAAACAGTCATAAGGTTGTTTAAGCTAACTCATGAAGTATTGTTAAACGTTAATTATTTACCGAATAATAACAAATAGTATTCGAATTTCGAATACTAAACATTTGCAAAATTATTAAAAAAAAAAAAAAAAAAAAATTACGGTTAAACCGTAAAGTCATAAGAAAATAAAGCTTTAGGGTTCTTGACTTTTTTTTCTTTTTTCTTGTGGCGCCCCATGGCCTCGTGTTGCCCTAAGGCTGTAACCTGTTTTAGCTTTTGCCTAAATTCGCCAGTTCATATACTTAATAGTTGTCGACAAATTTAATACAATTAACAAAATACAAAGTACAGCAAACATAAAAAGTAACATAATTTATACCAACAAAATATTATCAATTAAACCAACCCGCAGCATTTCTGCAAGTAAACAATAAACAAATAATAACAAATTTAAAAGATGCACAATTATAAATTAAACAGTTTATCTAATTTGGTTTCTTTACATTATTATAATATTACTTTCGATCCAATAAAGATCGCCGCCAAAATTTATATAATTAGTATGCAGATTTGCTTTGCACATCTGTATATCAGCACAAAATATAATAAATTTTTTTTCTGGCCTGGAATAGGCTATTGCCTATCAAAGACCAGAAAAAAAAATTATATTTTAAGTTATATCTAAATATACTGTTGATTATAATATTTAACGTAAAATAAAATGTAGCCTAATTAAAAGTATGAAAACTAATTTTATGGCAAGTAGTCCAGTCCAAGCCAACATAATAACACATTAAAAATTAACTTTTTGACCAAATAAATCATAAGACTTGATTATTTAAATGTATATTGTGTAGACTGAATCGTAACAATATTTCAGTTTAAATGGCGCTTAGTTTTAATAGTCGCGCGAACAATTCGCTTTTATTATATATAATCAAGCAATTATATATATTATATAGCATTTATATATATTATATAGCATTTATATATATTATATTTCAAAATCTTCATAAAGTTAAAGGTTCTACTTTTGGTTGTCTTTCTGATGTATCTGTTAAAATTCCTTTTTCTTTTTCGACCTCTTGATTTTTTATATTTTTGAGGTGCTTTTGGGTATTGTCTAATCATGTTAGGATATAAAACTGGTACAAAGGACTGTAAATTTTTATTAAAATCTATGACAGCTCATCAGTTTTGTTGTTACATAAATTAAGTGACTCACTGTTCATCGTAGCAGCTACAAAGGAAATAGTTACTACAGATTGATCACTAACATATAAAATTTTAAAATCTACGCAGTTTTGTCTACAATTGTCATTATTACTTGGTTAAAAAGAAATGCCATTAAGGCTGATGTGTGTTACCTCTGAAGAGCCAAAATCTTTATTCTCAAATGAATTTTTTGAAAAAGGAAAAATACCACATTTTTTAAACCCTGCTTTAATATTTTTTAAATTAACCCATAGTTTATTTTTGATGACGTATAATTTTCTAATATAGCTTCCACAGCATTAGTAAATATTTGACTTACAGAATATTTGGTAGAAATGTTATCGCTTTTTGATATTTTATTATTTTTGAGCATTTTTAATCTGTAGGCAAACGTACTTTTAAAGAATTTAAATATACCTGCGTCTCTTGCTTTCATTGTATTATCAAAAACATTTTTTACTGCAATTTTTAAATTTACTTCGTTTATAAATCTTTTTTTAATTGCGCACCATTTTTAAACATGGTCTAATTTAATTTAAAGATGAGTTTGTTATTAGGACGTTAGGACGCAACTTGTTCTAACGTGCATCATAAAGTTGTCTCAACCCTGATCTCAGGATACATTTCACAAAATTAAATGAAAATCTTGTTATTTTGTTAACATTTTAACATTTTGTCATTAACTTTAAAATTATTTTTATTTTAGGTTCAATTGAAAAATTGAAATTGCATTATATTGAAACTTACGATGCCGATCCCCAACATACCCGAAACAATAACACTGTTAAACTATACAAAAACCATTTTGATTTGGTTAATGGGGATAGTTTTAATAATAATGATAAGAATGCTGAAAAAAACAACTTTAATGAGTGGAAAGATTTTATTAAAAAACAAAGTAATTACAAAACAGTGACTTTTGAAGATATATTTGAACAAGATTCAAATGAATCATTAGTTTTGATTTCTGGAATTGCCGGAATAGGTAAAACATATTTCCTTAAAAAATGTCTTCTTTTATGGGCAAAAGAATTGATTTGGAAAAATACAGATTTTGTTTTTTATTTCGATCTAACAAATTCAATTGATTTTCAATCTATTTTGAGCTTAAACGAACTTATAATGAAGTTATATTCAGGTGTTTTAGTGGCACAAAAAATAACTTTTAAGTGGTCAATTAAACTACTAATTGATGGCTTAGATAAATTTACTTACTTCGAAAAACTTTTAAACCATAAGTTAGGTACGTTTAGTAATATTCCGTTGGTACATACGTTGGAGCATATACTTAGCGCAAAAGAAGTTAAATGTGTACTTGCTGGAAGAGTACAAGCTGTATCTAAATATATCAGTACAGGAAAAGAAGATGATAAAATTTTAAACATTCAAATTATGGGTTTTAACAATCTGGGAATGAAGTTCTACTTACAAGATAACTTACTAAGCAAAACCCTACAAAAAAATTTAAACGATATTTCATCATCATCAATTGAAGGAAAATCATTACTTTCTGTTCCTCTTTATTTAAAAGCTATATGCTCAACAACATTACACTTACTTATTCATTCTGTGAAAACACTAACCGAATTGCACACTTTAATATTTTATTATTTTATGCAACAAAAAAGCAGATCAAAAAATATAACTTTATATGAATTAATGCTTAATAATAACCAATACTTCTTAGGTGTGTGCAAAATTGCATCTATTTTGTTACAAAATCAAAGAGTTTTTATTTTACCAGATGAGTTTCTCCCTATTCTTGAAAAGCATAACTTGGAGCCAATTGGATTCATAGAAATGTCTAATATCAGTCAACAATATGAATTCTCTCATTTTATTTTGTTAAAATTTTGTGCTTCTGTACATTTGTATTTATGTGATAGTCCACAAACCGCTATTAACAACAAACGATTGCATTTGTGCATACCAATGGTATGCGGAATAGGATATGGAAGAAAAAGAAACTTTACATGCTTAATTACTAACTTGAAAAAACCAGTTCATCAAGAGAAATTTTGGCTTCAAGAAGTATTAGGTAAGACACATCATAATATATTTATACTTATATTGGTTATTGAATATTAGTACGTTCTATATTTTCGCCACAAACTCAACACAATATTTGTAAAATTACATTGATAAATAGGTTTTTTTTACTGGGTTGGGGATCTCCAAATAGAACCCTACGAACTCCCTGAAAGTATTTTGATGTTTCTTCATATAACGACTTAGTCTATCAAGGAAATGAACATTTTGTTTGTTAATGTTTAAGAGGGGAAAAGAGATTATTAAAAAAGATTAAAAAAAATAAATATCTCAAAAAAAGTTTGTATATTTTCTGTCACAATTTTAAGTCAGTCACTTTTGCATAATTTTTGTTCAAAAAACGTTTTGATAAAAATCTTAATTTAAAATTAAAATTTTTCAAAATATGGTTTAGTTTAGTTTAGTAATAACTTTGTTTTTTTATGTTGTAAAATAAGATATTTAAAAACTGAAATTGGTACTATTCTACTTAAATTGGTCAATAATTAATAAATCATGATTAACTGTTTGTAAGAAGAAGTAACCAACAAGTGTTAACTTCATTAATTACTTCTGTTAGTAATTATTAAAATAATGACCTATTATATACTTCTTTTTTAAATCTATTTCTTTAAATCTTTTTTAAATCTATTTCTATAAAAAGAAAGCATTCTCTCTTTTAATATGCTAATACTAATCTTATCTCCTGCAATTTGGTATAAAAATTAAAATCAACACTTTTAATAAAAAGCAAACAACATCCTCTGCGAAGAAGATGTTGAAATATAGAATGTACTGTTGTGCCACTTATTCTTCGAGATAATAATGTAGACCAAATACGTTTATTTGTGAAGATCATTGGCCTAAAGACTATAAAAAGGTTTTAGTTAGCGGAAAGTTTAGACCGAAATATTTACCATCTGTATTTTGTTTCGTAAATCCAAGTCAAATTCCAATCCCACTGACACCACCAAGACCAACTACTAAATCATTCTCAATTTTAAGAAGTACTATGCGAGATGAATGAAGGCTTTTGTGAAAGTGGCTGATATTTCTTTTTTTGAAAATTTGTGTAATAAAATATTGCCTGAAACTAAATCTTTTTCATTCTCAATTAAATGTTTATGAAAATTGCTAACACCTTTAGTATGGAAACATATTATACACTTGTGCCTTATAATCTTTATTTGTCCATTGATTTATCCTTTGATAAAACTATTACTTTTTATTAAAATTAAATGAATATTATTGACTGTACTAGTCATCTCCATGCTGCAACACACTATCTGAATTCTTTACCATTTGATCGAAAAAAAAGTATTATTATTGAACAGATATTTAGCATGAACTCCATAAAGTTTATTAGTGAAGAAAAAGTATTTACCTGCTAGGGCAGGCGAATACTTTTTTTGCATACTCATATGGTTGCTAGGGCACTTGAGTGATTTTCACTGCCAAGAACTTTTTGCTCTCACTTACGTGATGACTACGAGCTACCAAGTATATCTTTGATGACAAAGTTGACATCTAAAGGTAGAAAAAGCAAGATGTAATGATTTTTTAAAATTGTCTTTTAAAAAATGTTCTATTTGTCAAAGACAACTTATTCAACTAGTTGTTGAAATTTATGTTAAAGTAAATTTATGTTAAAATATCATGGAGGTTACCTTTTTGGTAAATCTGTAAATTCTCCAAATGAATTAGTAAAAACAGTCTTGGGCTTAATGATTTGTTCTTTATTTGGTGAAAAATAATTTTTGTAATGAGTACTACCAGTAACATGCTTAGATGCTAGTTTTCAATATGATCAAACATTACATACAATTGAGTTAATAAAAAATTGTGGTGGTTCTATGGTTACTATTTTTTGCGACAAAAAGTAAATAAAAAGAATTTTGAATGTTTAATCTTCGTAATACTTGTTGCACTTATAATATCGTTTTCCTTCTATATAGCTTTTTTTATTGAATAAAATCTATTCGCAACAATTGCCTCATAGAAAAATGGCAAGAACTATGTTTTTCTTACAAGTTATTTCAAGAACTGCAAAATGGTCACATTTTAAAAAACTATTTGAATTTGAAAAATATGCTTTTATAAAGTTGTCTGAATATAATTAAACTGCATTTTTTCCTAAACTAATTAGACATCAAAATATGTTAATATGTTTAAGAGTTTTTTGAGATGAGACAGTGACTGCTTTTACAGCTTATCCATCCATAAAATATATTTGACATTAAAAAAAAAAAATTTTAATGAGAAGATACTCCAGTTGAAGATACATGATTTTTTTTTTGATCAGTTTGGAGATTATCTCAGAGGGATTAATCGTGGTGGTTAAAGTTTACCTCGAGATAAGTTTTCCATTGCATATTTTATTCGTACATTTGACTTTATCATATGTACACATTTTTCTATCGTGTTAGCTCATCTTTTTTTTTTTTTTTTTTATGTATGTATTTAGGTGCTCTTAGAAGTCCTTACGGTCTTATCATAGAGCACCGCGGGACAACATTTAACAGGAAGTTCACGCCTTCTTCCGTACCAATGTCACTTGTTTGGCTGGAGCTGGAGTCGAACCTCGGACCTTTGGGTTCTGAGCCAGAACTCTAACCACCGCGCCACGGCTGCTTTAACTGCTTTTTGATGGTAAACGACTTTTATGGATATACTAATGTTTCAAAATAACATTGCAGAACCCTTGCCAATATACTTTTTAGTAACTATTGCTATCTTCCTGCAATCTTTAAAGAAACCCAAAATGAAAATTTTGAAGTTAGTTTAAATGTGGAATATATATATATATATATATATATATATATATATATATATATATATATATATATATATATATATATATATATATATATATATATATATATATATATATATATATATATATATATATATATATATACAAACCTACGTTATTTTGGTTGAAAATTTCTCTGGTTATGATGGGCAACTATGTACTTTAGATCATGGTATACCTGATTACAGGTACCGGGTGGTAAAGACATTGACTGCTAATAAGTATCAGGTGGTACAGGTACAAGGTGTTTAAAATACCTCAAGTTATAAAGAGTAATTTTTTTTCAATTTTCTATGTAGTAGTATTAGAAATCATGCCATCCATTGCTTGACATCATCGTGGCAACCCCTTGTCAGACACCCTTAAATTTTAAAAAATTGTAACTAAACTTATTTTTTAGTATGAAAGTTGAAATAATACAGGTTACTTGGGACACAATTACAAGATGTTTCCTCAATAGCCAGAAACTTTTTAAAGTTTTAACCCCTAGCCAGACAAGCATATCTGTTAGCAATTTTGTTAGTTTTATATCTAAAAACATTATAGCGAAGACCATAGTTAAGTCACTTAACTAAAAATAGTTGCTGTTTGATTGCATCAAAAACGCACTAGTTTTTATTAGCATTTCTTAATTATTAGAATTTAAGATAAAAAATGTAATAAAAATGAATATGGTTTTAATCGCTATTTTGTTTAAAAAGAAAAAATTAATAAATTAAAATTATTATAAAATAATAATTTAAATTATTTAATAATATAAGTATTATCAAAAACTATTAATAAAAAGTTAAAATGCATAGGCTGATAAAACAGTGATTAGCGCATTGGACGGTTCATACATTAACAGAAAGATTTGGCTTGTATAGGCAGTCTGTGCAAATAAGACAGTAAAATAGTTTTTAAACTATTTTACTGTCTTATTTGCATAACTGTTTCAAGACAATTATACAACTTATACGGTTGATTAGGAGCATGCTTTAGCACCTCTCTAACTTCTTCCTCTATCTATTCGCATCCTTGGCGATCTTTTGACAAACGTCTAGTTAAAGTTTAAGACCATATATTTACAATACTCAATAAAAGTACTCAAAATGTTAATCAATTGCTATTGAAAGGTATATGGTACATGATTGTTTTTAATGATAATTAGGCATTTTATATATCACATTTAAAAAAAATGTTTAAATTTTTAATATTATGCTTGAATCTTGAAAATAGTTTATATAAGAACAAGAAATTACAATTCTTATTAAGAAGTTGTCCATAAAATAGCTACACACTTTTTTACAGAAAGAGAAATCTCAATTTAAAAAATATACTGAAAAAAATTTCATTTTTGGAGCAAAATTATTTGTTGTGGTTTCTCATTCTGTAAAAAAGTGCATACATACTTTATGAAATTGATTTCAACTCGACATTTTGCAGTCTAGCAGGTTTGGGCCACAAAATTTTTATATAAACCAAATAAGTAACACTAAATTATTATAGGCTTCTTGTAAAAAACAGTAAAACTTTTGTTCTTGTAGTTATTGTGTTTGTTACAAAAAATATCAACTAAAGAAAATATCAACTAAAGTAAATATCAAATAAAGTAAATATCAACTAAAGTAAATATCAACTAAAGTAAATATCAACTAAAGTAAATATCAACTAAAGTAAATATCAACTAAAGAAAATATCAACTAAAGTAAATATCAACTAAAGTAAATATCAACTAAAGCAAATATCAACTAAAGTAAATATCAACTAAAGTAAATATCAACTAAAGTAAATATCAACTAAAGTAAATATCAACTAAAGTAAATATCAACTAAAGTAAATATCAACTAAAGTAAATATCAACTAAAGTAAATACCAACTAAAGTGAATATCAACTAAAGTAAATACCACTAAAGTAAATATCAACTAAAGTTTGTAACTTCTACCATTTTTCAATCTGCAAGCTTTTCAGCGGTTTCTCTATTTTTTTTAACTTTTTGAATAAAGAACTATAATATATTGACAAATCTAAATTAAACAAACAATATTTAAAAATATAATTTGCACAGGAAGCACTTCATAATTTCTTTTGGAAACGCTTTGCATTAAATTAAAGACAAACGCAGTTACTTGAATTATGAAATAGAATTATAAAAAAAATTTTGAAAAATATCCTTTAGAAAAAAAGTGGGGTGGGGGACTAGTGCTCCACTTATATTTAACGTTTTTTACTTACATTCACTTGCAAGTCTTATTAAAAGGATACAAAGTGTTGGTAATTTTAAAACAAACGAGGCAATTAGTTTTTATTTCAGAAGCGTGCAAGGCAAGTAAAATCCAGTAATAAAAGTGCCGTATGTTCCACAAATATGTTTTATCTAATGTTAATTGTTAACCACAATATGGTTTTAATACTCAACAAAACCAGGAAACAACAAAATCTAATTTAATGAAAATGTGCCTGCAAACTATGGTTTTATGCTTTATGTTGAGGCTGAGAAAATTTTATATAAAAAAGTTAAAAATTAAAATTATTGTTTATTTAGTTAGTTTAATATAGTTAATATAAAGTTATTGTTATATTATGTATTTATAGTATACAATATTTAGTAACAGTTTAATATTTAGAGTTTAAAATTATATATTATATGATATATAAAAAGTAAAAAAGTGCCGCTATAACTGCAGTTTTTTACTGGAACAACACGTACTTATTTTTAATGTTATCGACGTTGTTTTCTGTACAGATTTAAATTAAATTGATGTAAATTGATAGTAGTGTCCTATTGGGTACCATTAACACACCAACTAGTAATAATTAATAAACTTTTTCATCGCTAAAAGTATTGTATTTTTGGTACAAATTTTTGCTAACTTTAATCAGCTCAGCCTTTTGTGTGTCTTTCGGTTGAAGTGTAATAATTAAACCATGGGTTTTTAAATAAAGTTGATATGTGTAATTAAGTTTTAATAGATGGTGAATTTGTATTTGCTAAATAAAAATGGGTTAAGTAAGTTCAAAAAATGATTACACTACCTAAAAAATAGCAAACGTAAGTTTAAACAGAAATAAAACATGTCTAAATCTATTTAAGCCTTTGAAAAATTTTTTTGGGTGAAAGTTCGTGTTTGTTAGAATACAATTGAGGTAAACGTTCAATGGCTATTAAAGTAACGTTTGCAGTGAACGTTAAGTCAATGTTCGTTGTTTGTTATTTGAACGTTCGCAGTGAACGTTCAAGAACTGTAAATCGGAGTTCGCAAAAGTTGGTTCAAATAACGTTTGCCGCGTACGTTAAGCAAACCTTAACGAACGTTATGGTAACGTGTATTAAACGTTAATTTTAGCTGCTGTTTAAACAATTTTCTATAACTTTTACAGGACATTCATAGAACGTGCTTGAACATTCACAACGTTCGTTGAACGTGCTCGAACGTTTTGTGTTAGCTGGGATAACCACATTTTCTTTTTACGTTTTTTAAAAACATTTTTAGATAAAAAACTAACAATATTGTTAACATATTGCTTGTCTGGCTATGGATTAGATCCTTAGAAAGGGTCTGGCTATTGAGGAAACATCTTCTTATAGATACCCAAGTAACTTGTTTATCCGCGCAGCGGTATTGTTTGAAAGGCTTGTGTTTTGGAGTTATAGGGTTGAGAGGGGGTTTGTAATTTGTGTAAAGTGCATAATATTTTGAATTGAAATTTGGTACCACAAAAAAAAATTCATTTAAAAAGAAAACGGGTTCACCAGAAAGCATTATTATAGTAATAAGCAGAAAAAAAAATTAAATGCTTATTTTAAATAGAAGTTTTCTTTTGCTTTTTATTCATTGCTGGTTGTTAAATTGCTCTGAGAAGTCTTTACGGTCTTATCACAGAGCACCGGGGAAGAGCATTTAATTAGGCAGATTGCGCAAATCTCGCTTATTAGGTTAGAGCTGGCGTCGATCCTCGGGCCTCTGTTTCTTAAACAGAGCTTTAACTACTGCGTTACGGCTGCACAAGGAAGTCTTTGTTAAATAATATCCCAGCTGACACAAAACGTTCAACAAAAGTTGTGAACGTTTAAGAACATTCTATAAACGTTCATACAAAGTGCTTGAACGTTTGCAACGTTTGTCGAACGTTTTGTGTTAGCTGGGATGTTTCTTCGTTTGTTCAAGTTAATTTCTTTAAAACTTTTATTTTATCTTTAATATCAAATTTTCTATGGGAAAATAAATGGATAAAAGGCTTTTTTTAAAGTTTCTTAAATCTTTTTTTATAGCATCAATATAAATGAATTAAAAAAAACAACACTGTGACTGTATTGTTCATTAATTTCTTACCGTAATAAAACGTGCCGATATGTTTTAAGAGCACGTGCTGTCAAATATATGTAACAAATATTTATCTCATTTAGTCTTAAAGAGTATTGTACTTAAGAGTTACCCTTAAGTTAAGAGTAGATAACACCTTTTTTGTATATACAGATGTGTTACTCTCAGTTCAAGTCAATATTAAGTTGAACCCAATATTATTCATTTTACACAATGTAGAGAAAGTATAAATAAATTTGATGTAGCTTAATTCAACGGCATAAATATTTTAGAAAAATAATTTATGACAAACAAATGTTTTAACATTTTGCTCTAACATGTTTTACAAGTGATTAAGTTTTATTACTTTGTCAAATGACGAAGTAATTAGAGGTAAAGCTTGCTGCTCTATGCACATTTTGCAAACCAGTTTAAAAAAGGAAATAAATACTGTTTTTATTTCATATTTCAAACTATTGCAAAACATCCCTCTTCCCACATTACCCCTAGATTTTATCATAAAAATAATTTTGTTGCTATGAAAGCTAACTGACAAGCTACGCTCAATGATGATGTTTTCATTAGAATGTTAAATGAATAAATTTTGTAACTTATTCATTTATTTAAACTATTTGATCGTTTAAACTATGCAGTACTTTTTAGAATTTCCATTTTTTTAGATTCTAAATTTTTTTTTTTCTTTTAGAGTACAAAGACAGAAACTTGTTTGTCCAAAGTCTATATGAATCTCAAACATCTTTTAATGATGTTCAAATAATATCAATCGATATTTTAAATGGATGGAATGAAAATAATTTATCTGGTGAAAATGCAGAAGTGTATTTTACAGAAAAATTTAAAAAACTTCACAAGAAAATAGATTACAATAAGTTAAAAATGCTTGAAATAGAAAAAAAATATCAAGATGCAGTGTCTTTATATAATAAAAAGGACTTCGATAATGCGTTAGTAAATTTTAGATTGGTTGAAAATGAACAAAAGGAGTTTTTAGGAGAAAAACACGAGAAGCTACTTAAAACTAAATTCATAATTGCAAAATGCTTTTACGATAAAAAACAATACAATGACGCAGAAAAATTATTAAGAGAATTACAAAAAATACAAAAACAGATTTCAAAAGAGAATAATGCATGTTCCCTAAATACTAAATACTGGATTGCAAGTTGCTTATATCGTCAAAAGCAATTTTCAGAAGCAGAAAAAATAACAAAAGAAGTAGAAAACATGCAAAAAGAAATTTTAGGAGAGAACAAAATAGACACACTAAGCTCTAAGAACTTAATTGCATTGTGCTTGTATCGTAAGAAACAATTTGATGACAGTGAAAGGTTATTTAGAGAGATTGAAAGAATGCGAAAAGAAGTTTTAGGTGAAAAACATCCTGATACAATCAATTCTAAATATTGGATTGCAAGATGTTTATATGATAACAATCAATTTATTGATGCAGAAAATATATTTAAAGAGGTTGAAAACTTTGAAAAAGAAATATTTGGAATTGAAGCGACTAATACACTGAACACTAAATACTGGATTGGATTATGTTTATTTAATAGAAGAAAATTCAGCGAGGCAGAAAAAGTATTGAAGGAATTAGAATTTTTAGAGGAAAAAGTCTTTGGTAAAACAGATCCTTATACAATAAATGTTAAACAATTGATCAAAGAGTGCGTTCGTGAAAATTGCAAAAAATGATAAAAAGTTAATAAAATAAAAATTAAAAACACAAAAATAATATAAAAAACATTCAGGTATTTTAACATGATATTATGTAAGAAAAAAAACCCACTGTTTTTAATATAAAACATTATATAATATTTTACTATTTAAAAAACTTCATTTGATATTTTACTACTTCAAATGAGTTCTGTGCGATAATAATCCAAAAATATTTTACTTATGAAAAATTAAGTAATTGGTTAAGAAAAATTTAAACTTTTACTAACTTTTTAAATTTGTTTTATTAGCAGTTAAAAAAGAAAGTATTAAAAAGAAAGTTGTAATTAAAAAAGTAAGAAAGTAAGTTAAAGATTAAAACTTATATGCGAAATTTGTGCTACCTAACAATACAAACCAAAAAATTTCATTATTTTCCTGAGATTTTTGCTATTTGTACATATGATAGAAAATACAAAATTACGTTTTAATAAATGAAAAAATAATTCAAAAAATAAAAATTAGATTAGAAACCTGTTTCATAATTACAATAGAAAAACTTTTGCAAATTTGAACTTCGATTGAAAATCAGTCAGCGTTAATGTTTATGCTGGTAAATTTGTTTTTATGTCTACTTCAAGAACATCTATACAAAGTTTTACAAACCAACTCGTGGTGAATATGAGATAAAGAGCGTCGTTTATACAAGTTTCATGTTAGATATGTTCTGCAACTCCACTGATATAAATAAATAAAATAACATAAATAAAATAAATATAAAATAACAACATTTAAAAATACAACCTTTAGATAAAAATGAAATATAAACACATTGCTTCTCATGGCACCTTTCCACCGCAAAAAATTGGTCTCGTTGTTAATTAAGTTTAAACCCCTACGGAAAATGAACAAAAAGCACATTTTGTAAATAAATATAAGAGATATGCAGTTTAAACCATTTTCAATTATTTTTGAATGTGTTAACTACTGCAAAACAAAAACTTTAGTCAAAAAAACATCAAAGATAAATAATTTTTTTTTTTTTTTTTTGTAAAACATGTACTTTAGTTTATACTTCATCAACTATAATCATTAGTTCCTCCAATACTTTATTTTGTCGTCTAAACAGAAATAAAATATGTTTTAATAAATATCCTAGTTATAAATTAGTTATTGATATAAAATTGATGCTATTGATATTATGAATAAAAGTAAATGCAAAACATAAAAAATGATTTTTCAATGCTGCCAATTTTGAATCATTTAAAGATCAATTACCTCTTCTAAGTAAAATCAAGGTAATGCCTATGATGAAGCTAATTTATTTTATAATACAATTTTTAAAATGTTTTAGGAAATATATGACGCTAATATTACAAAAATTATAGTAATTTATTTTTTAATTCTTAATTTTACATTTAATGTTTATCTTCATACCATATATGAAAAAAATAAATAAACAAATACATATATTAGATCCCAAGTGGTACAGGACGTCCTTGGACGTCCATAGTACGTACCGTTTAGCTCCATTCGTCCAAGTTCAAAATGGTACGTTTTGAGACGTCCAATGGATGTCCAAAAACGTCCAAGTCCTATAGCACGTTCTCATTGAGGACTTATTTTTACGCATGCGTGAATATAAAATATTTTCAAAATAATTAAAAAGGCAGTTTGAAAGGTGTCAATCATTTAACTTTTTCGATAGCTGTAACTAATTAGTTATAGTTATCAAATATTAATTTATGGTTTAACTACACAGCTTTATGAAAGAATCTTTTCATTAGGACACACACACATACACACACACACACACACACACAAACACATATATATATATATATATATATATATATATATATATATATATATATATATATATATATATATATATATATATATATATATATATATATATATATATACATATATATATATATATATATATATATATATATATATATATATATATATATATATATATATATATATATATATATATATATATATATATATATATATATATATATATATATATATATATATATATATATATATATATAAACTAATTTAAAACATTGGATAATACGAATTTCTTAATACAAAATAATTTATTTGAAGTTTCCTCCGGATTATAGGCGCAGGCATCATCAGCATGTAATATAATATAATTACAAAAATTGTGACCGTTAAATAACAAAAAAATAATTTTTAATTTTGACGTCACCTTTATAATGGCTACTTTTACTTAAGTATTGAAAAAATGAAGTCCAAAAATTTGTTTTATAAAAAACATGTTATATAATATTTATAACAAAAAAACTCAGCTGATAAATATTAAGAATTTTTATTTCAAATACAAAAAGCTTGGCATGATCAAAACTATATTTAAAATTAAATAGAAGAGCAGCATGCTTTTGGTAAAGATAAAGTGATAACTATTTAGATTCATTGATAGGAAATGTTTGCATCCATAGGATATGTTTGCATGATTTATATGACAATAGATAAAGAGTAATATAACTGTGTTAAAATATGTTTAGTTAAAGTATTTCTTGCTTTAACATTATTACTATAATTTTAGCAACTTTGTAGCACAAAAATTTAATGTGATATTTCCGGCAAACGTTTCTTAAACATAGACACCTAAAAAGTTAGTATATATTTCTCTGTTTATTTGCATTGTGCTTATAAAAAGACAGGCATTTCATTAAGCAGTACTTTTGTTTAAACTGCGAGACATAATGATAATACACCCCAAAACTGATCATAAAACTCTACTATACATTTATATTTAAAAACTAATTTTTATACTAAATGAGAGCAAAAGGATTGCAACACTAAACAACATTTAATTTTAATTTTAAAATTAATTTTAAACCTAACTCGCATTTTATTGAAAAAAAAAACTGTTTTTTAAGTGCGACAAAATTATAAGACACTTCTGGAAAAAATTCATATAGATCGTCATTTATATAAAAAGACGTTTCAATTTTAAAAAATCAATTGTGGATACTTTTACCATTTTTTTTACTCACTTCAATCATTCTAGAAGGTATATAATCATACAAGTTTTTTTACGTATGAAAGGTCAATCGCATCCCATGCAATTGCAATGGATGATTTCAAGTCAGCTAATGAACTATATTGTTCACTACTTTCAAACACTATATGCAACAGCTGTGCCCAAGCATTCTCAATAATGTTCAGGTATGAAAATCTAGCTGGCCTCTTTAATGTTTCAACTTTACTGCTGTTTTCACCACCTATGACAGATGCTTCACGACTTAAAAAATCTTGAAAAATTAAAAGATATTTCTTAGCCTTCATTTTTCCGTCAATAAAATGAATTTTTGATTTATCGTAATACCCACCTACCTATTGCATACCTAATCATTGCACCACCACCACTCATTTGATGTCGTTTCTGTGTTCCCAATGGGCACACGGACGTCCATAGTACGTCCAAAGACGTCCGAAATGGTCCGTTTGGACGTCCAAAATGACGTACACTGGACGTACCAAATACAAACTGTTTGTACCAAATACAAAATTGTGGACCTCCAAATGGACTGTTCAAAACAGCCCATTTGGAGGTCTACAGTAGACGTTTTTGGACGTCTTACAGACGTTAATTTTGTCCGTTCATTCAGCGTTTAATTTTATTCATTTTATTCTTATACCGACTCCATTTTTAGCAAAAAACTATAAAAAATGGAGTCTCAAGACTCCATTTTTTATAGTTGCTAGAAATAGAGTCGGTATGAAAATAAGCTGAATAAAATTAAATTATAGGAAATTAATAATGTTACTTCATAAATAATTAAATTCTAGCATTGACACAAAACATACCTATAACATAATACATACCTATAACATAACATACCTATAAAAATTATAGTACAAATTATGATACCGTAAATAGAAAAAAAAAATTCTAAACAACATTAAAAAAAAAAAAAAAGATTTACAAATTTATATTATATTGAACAGTTTGTTTATTTAAAGATGGATTTTCCCATTTAAAATGGAGTGCTTCTTTAGTTTTCATTTATTTTTGTTAGGACCAGTATCCAAAATTTTTAAACAATTATAGTTACCTGTATTTTTACGATTTACAGATGAAATTAAATGCTTATAAAACATTAGATTGTTTGTAAAATGCTCAAAAATCTTTATTGTTAAGTGTCTTCAGGTTTCCTCAATATATCTGGCATTACATCCAGCACAAGAAAATTTGTAAACAACATTAAATTCGAGCAGCTTAGAAAGTGGATCTTTTATACATAAACTGTTTTGTAAATTGTTGGTAGTAAAATTTAAATATAACATCTTTACAATACTTTTAAATGATTATTAACTTTAGATTTAGTAAAATTTGATAAAAATACTATTAATGGAAGTTTATAATATCTTATGTTAGGGTTATCAATACTACTTATCAAAGATGGATTTAACTTTTTATCAACAAATAATTTAATTTCTGTGTCAATTATTTTAAATGGAGATTGGTTATTTTTAAAAACATTATTTTGATCTAATCAAATCCTAGCCATGTGTTGTTGATTTTATACGTTCTTTTTATTAAACAACGTTTAAGACTAATTTTATTACAATAGATAAAAAAACCGAAATTTTTTTGTAAAAGACCTGTATATGTTTTTTTTGTGATAAACTGATGTTAAAAGCGAAACAGAATTATTGATAAGAACATCTAAAAATGCAATTTGATTATCATGTTCTTTTTCCGTAGTAAATTTTAAGTTTTTATGTTGTTTGTTAAGATGTGTAATAAATTCCGGAGCTTCAAACTCTGAATTAAAAATAGCGATAATATCATGCACATAACGTTTATAGAAAAACGGTACAAAGAAAGAGCAATTACTAACTTATTTATGTTCGTGAAACCCAATAAAAATATTAGCTAAACCTGGCGCCAAAGGAGAACCCATGGCAACGCCATCCCATTGATCATAACATTTTCTGTGAAATAAGAAATGAGAACCGGATGTAATTTTTTTGAACGAAGTTTTAGAAAAATATTTTAAACAAGTTTCCTTTTCAAAGTATAAATCA